CCGGCTGGGGGAGGGGGGTTTGCCCAGGCATGGTTCTGTGCCGAATTTACCGGAAACATGTCATTCTGGAAACTCTGCGGGGCAGAGAGGCGTGGGACCGCGACCCCCATGTCCCCGGCTCATTCCTGCGGCTCCTGCGCTGAGGAAGCCCCTGTGGTTTTTGTCTCCTCAGGAGAGCGAAGACTTGGAGAGGCAGAACGCTGCCCTGCGCCGGGAGATCAAGCAGCTGACAGAGGAGATGAAGCACTTTGCCTCAATGCTGAGCTCCCACGAACCACTCTGCTCCATCCTGACATCCCCTCCGCCACCTCCAGAAGTGCTTTACGCCACACACTCCTTCCACCAGCCCCACATCAGCTCCCCACGCTTCCAGCACTGAGCCACCAAGCGGGATGGCAGCCTGCCGGCTCCACTGACAGCAAGAAGCAACTTCGTGGGGCTTGCTTTTCCATCCAAGGGAGAGGGACGGACGGACGGACAGACGGACACCCCTTCTCAAAGTGTGTACTCTGAGTGACTTGCCTGAGACTTGCTCCCTGTACAGAAATGGCAGAGCCACCAGGAGGCATCTTCGGGCAGTTTCCAGCTTGGATCCTGGGAAGAGGAGGCATTTGCAAAAGGGCACCAACCCCCTTCCCTGGTGCTTGCTTGGGGACACTCGCAGGAGCGTGCGGCACCAGCAGCCTCCATGCGAGTGGCTGGCTGCGGTGTGCGACAGCCGGAGCTCCAGGGAGAGGAACAGAAGCAGGGGCGGAGGGGACGGTTGGGGGCCACAGAGTACCAGGGCAAAACTGGTTTATTTTTTTAAAATAAAGATTGAAAATGCTTAACTCTTTGCTTCCAAAATAGGACCTGAGCCACTCCTAAAGGCCCAGCATGACCCAATGAGGACACAGGCAGCAGGAGGGAGAGCTTGGAGCCTGGAGTCCAGGGAACAGCCCTGCGTGTGCTGGTGTCTAATCCAGGGCCAGCAGCTGGAGCCCCACATTTAGAAGGGGGGCCCATGTGTGTGGGCTGCGCAGGCTGAGGAACAATGGTTTGTGGGGTGATGGGGTCCCTGGGAGGAGATAGCCAGGTCCAGCCCTGCAGCAAGGAGGCACCTAATGAGTCTGACATGCCAAGAAGCATCACAAGTCTCTTCCCTGCTGACCCCCTCAGCTCCCTGCTGCCAATGGCTAGACCTTCACATGCTCCCCTTGCATGTGTGGAGGTGCACTGTGATACCGTGTCACCTCACGTGTAGGTCTTGGTGGGCTGGTGGAGCCTCAACTTGACCAGCAGCACAGCTGGGAAGGAGAATTGCAGCAGGAGGGCGGTGGTGATGCTGTGCTGGGTTGCACAGGGGAAGCAGGACCTAGCAGGACCCTTGGTCCAAGGTTCCCTGCTATAAGGCACGTAGCTTGCAGCCTACACTGTTTCCCCTTCCCCACCAGTCACAGCTCCACAAAAGGCTGCTGCACGACCTCATGCACTGAAGCAGATGAAACCTGAAAGGTCAGTGAAGAGTAGATTGATTCTGCTGTGTCTGATCTAGTGGAAACACAAGCTGGTCCATACAGACAGTCTCTGCACCTAACACCCCACCAGCCAGCAGTTTGTCTATCAGCCCCACTCTGTACACAAGGCTGAAGCCCACCTGCCAGTGCAGGTCCTGTCGCTAATGCTGGCTCAGGACTGCTGCCATCTCCAAGGAGTGTCAGCTGCCATTTTTTCAGCATAGGGTACCACAAGCCATGCTGCTGACACAGGCTTTTGACTGAGCTAAACGGACCCAATTTGTAGATACCCTTCTTTCAGGCACACAGAAGCGGCACATTCCTAGATGGGTTTTGGCCCATCATCATAGCCCTCAAGAGAGGTTGGGAAAAGTCTGTAACGTGCTGTGCTGTGCCAATTTTCTCTCTCTGGTTCGCACTAGCAGGATGATAACCAAACACCACCGTACCTTGGCAAGCTGTCCTCAGGAGGCACACGTAGCACTGTGATTTCTCCTGCCATGGCCTGTTAAGAGGCTTGTGAACCTCCTGCCTCCAGCTCTTGTGCCAGCATGGGAAGCACCGTGGGCAGGGATGCCTGGTGTCACATGTTGGCCTGGGTGTCACCACCCTACAAAATCAGTGGTGAGGCAATGGGTGATTGCACTGGCCCTGGTCTGTGCAGCTCTGCCCTCTGCCCCGAGGGGGATGCTCACACATAGGGGAGGTTGGTGGTTATTCCAGCTGGGCAGCTGGGTTTCTGCATACAGGACACGCAGGATACATCTACGGGCAGCAAAAAGATTCTAACCACGTTCACAAAAAAGCAGCAGGCGCAGTATCAATGTGTCTTACACGAACCCCATCTGCCAGAACCTCACGCCAGTAGGCTTCACTCCATCCATTGGTACAAGAACCAGAGCTGCTGATTCCCTGCACAGGCCATGCTTTGAGCCACCCAGGCTACAAAGGCCCTTCCCTTTTCTCTGGGATTTGGCCCTTTAAGCCTGGGACAGACAACTGGCTGCAGCTCTAGAGGAACTTGGTTTTACAAACTCTGCTTCTGCTCCTTCAGCTTCTGGTGGGTTTGCTCCTGGATTTTTTTCACTTGCTGTTCCTGATGGAACATGCTCCCATGCTCCCATGCTTCCTGGGTTACACAGGATCACAGGAAAAAAACTACCACTATCTCATTTGGGGTTTGCTGTGCAGGGCACTGCAGGCTCATGCTCGTCACCGGAGGATGCAACAGAGCCCCAGGAAAGCTTGCAGTGACTTAAAACACAGTATTGCCTACAATAATAAGAAATTTCCATCTTTGGTGTGACCTTTGTGTTTTCTCATGGCTATAAAATGCTAGGCTTGGTTTTAGCTGCAGATGGAGAAGGTCCTACCCTGGTGTATATGTATTACCTATGCCCACACAGACACAAAGCCAGTATTTTTGTTGCAGAGCTGTCGAAGTTTGAGATCCTGCAGGCTGGGTGGGGTTCTGCGTAATGCCACAGAATTGCTAGACTACTCACTGGTAACGTCTCAGACCTATTACTGCAACTCAGAACGAAAATAAGTGGTAAGTGGTGAGACTGGGAGACGGGTTTGCAACAACATCCTCTCCAGAACCTAAACAATAGTCTTGGCATCATCAGTTGAGGTGCATGGCTGGCTGTGAGCTGGAAGGTCTCTAAGCAGCGTTGCGCTCAGCCGTTTTGGCCAAACACTGCGTGTATGTTAGTGCTAAGGGACCCATCTTCCAATTTGACTTGTCTTTGCCCTGGTCTTGCCCTCAAAAACCTGATCACAGATGATCTGCATGGTTCAAGTGGTTTTTGATCTCTTGGTTGCTTCTGATGATCGTTAGGTTTCTCAGATTCAGTCTCTGTTATGAAGAATGGTTCCCCTGGGAGACCGTCCTTATCACCCAAGCAACAAGGGAAAACATAGCCTTTCAGAGCCATCAGCCCTTTCAACCAATCGCTGAGAGAAAGGTCGTTTTCTGAGGCTATTTGCAGAGCTGCACAAGCTGCTGCTTCAGGCCATGCGAGGAGATGCCTTCAACTTCTGTACCGGTGCTGTCTCTTGCTTCTCTTTCCCAGGCTCCTGGCCTCCACTCAAGACTCTTCAAGCAACTAGTTTTGAATCCTAAGTACCCAAGTGCCTGTCCTCTGGTGTCACCCTCACTGTTGTCAGCAAATGAACTGTTAATGAGCTCAAATGAGGAGCAAAGGGCAGGGTGATGGCCAGGGCAACCATCTCTAATTGCTTTCAATTGTTTGCTCCTACCCTCCATGCCTTGAGGCATTTTCAATTGTTTGCCTCCTACCCCTTTTGAACTTCATTTCCATATTTCCATGGCCTCTGGCATTTCTAAAGTGTTGTGAGTATTATCTGGCCGTGCCCAGCCTCCAGGAGCACCGTGGTGTTTGCTGTTCCAAGGGAAGGGGATGCTTCTGGGCACACAAGAGGAGAAATTGGGTGATGGCTGGGCCTGTGGCAGCTTGTCCCTACCCACGTAGGATGTCAGTGCCTTTCTGCCGCACTACATAGTCACTCACTGAAAAGCTCTCTCAAAGCAGTAGAGACGAAGGCTCACAGGAGACTGCGAGTCACTTTTCGAGCCGGGGAAGGCCAGGCAGAGAGACAACTCTTCCTTGCAAGCACAGCCTGCGTTTGGGCTGCGTTTGTGCTGCGCAACACTGCGTTTGTGCTGGCCTCTGCTGGGGAAAGGCTGAGCTCTCCCAGCCTGCAGCCGCACTTCTCAGCAACAGCCTCTTTGCGCTCCCCTACGGCAGAGCCGACTTGAAGGTTAGCCTGGCTATTGCCAGAGACTAGGGGAAGAACTGGGAGGCTCAAGGTTCCTGTGTGTGACGGCAATGGTTGGGTAAGGCTGCCTGAAGGGGGATGTCCAGGTCCAAGTGGAAATGTGGGGCTGTGGTGTCCCTTGGCCCTTGTAGCTTGGGCCAGGGGCCAGTTCTGCTTTGTGGTCCCAGCGTGTTTCCACTGCTGCGTGAGAGTGGGGGGAGCTTGGCTTGGTGTTCGCCACCTTTCCCAGCTCCCGTGGGGCTTGCAGAGCTGTGTGCAGGCAGTGCTGCTGGGCTGGATGGGGGGACTGAGCACTGGGAAGCATCACAGGTGGAGGGGTAACAGCTACGTGCTTAAATAAACACAGACCTTGCTGCAGCCCTGATGAACTATAATCACCTTCACCATGACCGGAGATGAGAAATGTTGGATTTCAGTGTTTCGATACCCAGGAAAGCTTTTGTAGAAGCACTTGGGCTGGATTTCTGCCCAGCAGCCTTGTCCCAGGGGCTGTTTGCATACTGGGCAAGGCCAGGTGAAATCCCAGTGGTTTGGCGCTGGGAGAGCAGCGAGGGCAGGTGGAACATGGCAGTGGGAGGCACCTGCCGTGGGTGCTTTTCAAGCCTTAGTGACTGTTGCCTCCACATTTACTTGCTGGCTGGTGTCTTCTCTGCAGCAAAACTGAGGTGTGTGGCAAACATCTGTAGATGCAATCTGAGGGTGGAGATGGGAACCAGGGGACATGAAAGTTACATTTTCCTTCATGGCCTTCACTGAATCTCAATACCTCCTATGGATCAAGGCATCCTGGCAACTCTATGCAGAAGGACAGCAAGTCACAAAACATGGAGGGTGCAGAAATTTTCTCCCTTTCCATCCCCCTAAAAGCACAAGCTCAGCACTTTACAAGCAGTCAGTATCAGCATTTCAGAGCTGCTTCTATGGTAAGATAAATAAAGATATGACATTTGGTGCTGACTTAAGCTTAACGTATCTCCCCAGATGGGAAGCCCAGGGCAATCTTTTATGCCTGGTATTCCCTTCCTGCTTCATCCTCCTCAGCTGAGCTGCAGGGTGCCAATGTGCCAGGTGCCAAGGTGGG